GCAGGAATTAGCCTGCAACAATTAACACTAAATGAGATGGAAAACAAACAACCCCCCCGACCCCCCCAGAGGGGGCTGGATGGTAAAACACATCGGTGAAACTGTGAACTATAACACACGCTATTTCATTTTTTCCTGGAACACTTCCACCTTCATGTTATGGTTTACATTTTATTTCATTAGACTTTTAAGGGAACAGTGGTACAAGTGGCATTTACACTCTCATCCCCACAGGGGAAAGTGATATTTTTAGGTAGGTATTTTTAAAATGAGGTGGTGGGGGGGGAAGTCTTTCATAATTACTTGGGAAGGACTGAATGCTTCACACTTGTTGAAAAAGTGTGGATATTAGGAATGTTAAAAAGTGACAGCATATTTACTAGGTAACCAACCCTATGACTCCCCATGCTACTGAAACATGAGACAGATGTGCAAATCGTTGCCCTGACTTACAGATCTCTGATAGAGGGGAGTCCTCTTCTGTTTTTTAGACCCAGATGAGGTAGATGCAGATGAAGAGAAAGATAAAGGAAGAGAAGGTGGGGGAGCTGCAGGAGGGGGGAGAGGATCTGATGACACAGTATAATGGTTCTCCATCTCATACAGCTGTGATAACATAGTACAGTGTTATAACTAGTCAGTAGTTACAAAGCATAACTTTAAAAACATCCAAGTTCCTGTTAACCATCCCAAATCTTTTAAGAAACTCAGTGAACTCATAAATCTGTTAGAATCCTGCATTAAGCACCCATTATTTTCTTGTTTTACACCTCATTTTTCTTTCCACTCTTAGAATCAACTACAGTAGTATAGCCAAGCGTTGCACAAAGGCTGTAAATCTTAATGGGAAGATACACCAGTGGCAAAGATGAGCACACATACACCTCTGATGCAGAAACAGTTGCAGACACTAAATATATTCTGTTCATCTAAGCTATAAGTGAAACTACTAAATGCCTAATTTAGAGTCTCTTTCATTATTATGCTTCTTCCCACACACTATAAACTCTTGCAAGAAAGGACTGCCTTACTACCTACCTTTCCCTCTCATACTTGAAAGGCAGAAAGAGTTAAACAGAAGAGTTAGTCACTAGTTCATTAAGATTACACATTAGTACCTTCACAAAACCAATGCAGGTCTCGGTATGGTTCTCAGAACACAAATGCTTAGTGTATTGATTTGATATTAGCACCATCACATACGCATTTGTCCAAACCTGCAAGCTCCAAGTCTAGTAATATGCAATGCCATATAGCAGTTCTTGTATGTGAGCAGATAAATTGAAAGAATTACATAAAGGATAACGTAACTCTCCAGGAAGACCTGAGAATTTTGTTTCTTCTCCGATTTCATTGTTAGCTTTCCATGCCTTACAAGTTTCCCTGTGCCAAGAAGGGCAGAGTAAAGGTGAGACCTAACTCCAAAACGTATAAACACCTGAAGATCCTCATAGTAAGTTACAGGTGATGAACACCTCTTTGCATTGCATCTCTGTGGCAACCTCCAGAAGACCTGCAACCTAAAACCAACTTAATTTTCAACTGTTTTAATCCTTTTCCACTTTGCATAGTGTACAATAATTTTGCTACCAGCTTTAGAAATCACAGAATTGTTTAGGTTGGAAGGGACCTCTGGAGATCATCTAGTCCAACCTCCCTGCTCAAGCAGGGTCACCTAGAGCATATTGCCCAGGATCACATCCAGACGGGTTTTGAATATCTCCAGTGAAGGAGACTTCACTACCTCTCTGGGCAACCTGTTCCAATGCTCTGTCACCCTCAAATGTGTATGTTCAGCCACATTTGGCAGTGCCAAAGAACCTTATGGGAATGAAAATACTCTATTTCAACACAGAATCATCGCACCAGTGCAAAAAAAAAAAAAAAAAATTACAAGCTGGCAGCTTACAAATATCAGGCAAAATATATAATTTTTACATGAACAGCTGCTTTACAGCTAAGTTAACCATAAATTTTTTTGTCATCATAGTCATACTGATAATTCCATGATGGTGTGGAGGCTAAGTAATGCACTGCATTACATAAGAGCTTGATCTTCTAGAACAAGATAAGCGAGTAGATAAACGCAGAAATTATCTTTGCTAGAGTGATATGAAAAGCCACAGCATACGGACAAGCTTAGTTACCCAATCTCTTAATTGTATCTATCCTACATTCTTATTATATAGTTACTAAGACTCAAGTTTTGAGATACCCTACAAACCTGATCAAATTGGTATAAATCAATACTCTACGTTATAAAATACTAACATGCCCGAAAACAGAGCAAACCATAAAGTCGTGAGCAGGTAGAGACCCCTGGAGAACTGCTCAAAGCAGGACTCTTGCTAATATCACAGGGCAGCCATGGTTTTGTCTAGATGAGCCTTGAAGGCCTCCAAGGAGAGAGATTCCACAACCTCTCTGGGTAGCCTGTTCCAGTGCTGTGATATTCTCCCAGCAAAGAAGTTTTTCACAATGCCCAGCCTAAACTGTTCAAGGCTGAATGCCACATGTTGCATCCTTTTAAGCAGTGGATTATATTTAAAGGACACAAATATTTCATTGGAATACCTAACAACAACAGCAATAAACAAAGCTGGGAAGAGTTGCAGACTAGTTCCTCTCAGCACAATGGTCTAAACTTCAAGGAGAGGAAAAACTAACAAACAAACAAAAAACTTGTGCTATAAGCAGAATTCATTCCATATATGAACTCTTATCTTCTGAAGAAGATAAACCCTAGGACACCCATAGTCATCTATGTATGAGATGTGCTTGTAGAAAGGCAACAGCTGAAGTGTTTCATTTTTGAAGAGGATTTCAAACTCTGGGTCGGCTTAAAATCAATTGGTCCTGTAAACAGGATGGCTGGAGGAAGGGAGCATGATGCATTACGTATTTCCAGATGAATAACAAGCAAAATGATTAACCCATTCTGAAAGCTCATATCAGTGTGGCAAATTCCTTTTGCGAGTCATTGACTAAACAGCCTCTTTATACCTCTGAAGCAAGACGAGCACACAAACACACACACACCCCTGCCACACTGGCAAGAACATTAAGTAAAAGAAGCTTACTAGATTGTTACCAAAGGTACATTCATTACAGAAAACGACAAAAATCTGCCAAAAGTTAAGTTCAGAATAGCTTAAACTAGAGTTAGAACACCACATTGCTGTAATCTCTTGCTCAAAGAGAAGAGATGCATTAAAAGCTCTCAATGCATCATTGCACAAGCAGTTGAGGGTTAGAGAGCTATTAGCAATATATCACAAAGAACACCTCATCTATCAGCTAAAGCCTGACAAATTCAGTCCAATGAGAGAGACTTCTCAGGGTAGCACTAAAATTTCACGTAGAGGGAAAAGACAGGGCATGATAACTTCAATAGCCTTTCCAGATGCTTGCCAGATTCCTACACCTGTTCAAACTTAACATTATAACAGAGCACGACAAAAATGAAATATAATAATTCTGTCAATTTATATGTATTACTCATGAAGAGTATTGTCACAAAATTGTACTAAAAAAACTTCCAGTAGAAGTTTACAGCATATTAGTGTACGGAAACACCATTTGGTTGGACCTACAATATAAAAGCTATATACTGGACCACAATTACTACCTGGGTGTGCTGTCCACTGCCAACAGTTGACCTTTAACGCAGCTGACCTGTCAGTTTACAAGAGTAAAAACTATGAATTCCACCAATGTAAGTACATGGAGGGAAGGGGTGGGGACCACACACCTGTGCAAAGAAAATTTAAAGATGACTAAACATGTTACATGAACTGATAAAAACAGTATCAGCTTTGAAAAAACATGACTGGAATCGCAACACTACTGTCCATTACTAGTAGAAACATTAGTAATGACCACCATCCTAGGGAAATAAAACAATTACTATTAAATGGAATTAAAATATACCACAGGTACCATCATCTCATTTTCTTACAAACAAACCAACATGACAGTAGAGAACTTTCATAAGAACTAGGTTCCTAATCAGACTGGGAGCACAGACAGCTCTTCATACAGTGCATGCACTAACCTCGCAGTGATATTCAAATATTGCACTTTCAGTAGTATTAGCCGATTCTTCTGTTTCAGCACACGTTTCAAAGGATGAAGACTGCAATTATTAAAATAAGAGGGGGGAAAAAAAAGAAAAGAAAAAAGCAAGAGAAAGTGATCTATCAAGCTAATAAAGGAAACAAGTGCTGCTGCCCTAGGCAGTTTTATACAGCACTGGAGAAAACAAAGACTACTAGCAGCGTTGGGACGTGCTCTTTCGAAGCTGTTGAGTAGGCACAAACTTCTTGTTTCAGATCAAGCGTTGTGTCTTCAGTGTAAGTTTCCTCTTCTTTGGTCTTGTGGTGTTGTTACGATGTAGTACGTTCCTTTCCTGATCTGAACTTGAAGCAGCAGTTTCAGGTGGTAAATTCTGTTCTGTTACACTTCATACTGGAGAGGGAGAAAAGACACACACTAAGTATAACTTTATTTTAAAGTTTATTATACATCAGTACGAGGTGTTCTCACCACCAGATGCACTGCCTCCATCTTAATACTGCAGATTTGATCCATGCTAGGAAAGGCTACCTTACAGATGTACTTTGGCATTCCCTTTTTCAGTTCTGGTCTCCCAAGAAGCTCTAACTTTAAGCAAGTGGTATGTTTCCAACTTCAACCTCTTCAGATGCAGTTATGCATTCCAGGAACGGTCCCAGTTTGCGTAACTAAAAACAGCAACTTCAATAGCAACATAATTTAATGCTGATCTTAGCCCTCCTATTGATACTATCAACAACTTCACGCATATTCTGTCTCACAATTTAATCAACAAGTGCTTGCACAAATCTTCAGTATAGCGAAAGATTGGAGGGGGAAAGAAAACTAGGATTTCCTGATAGGTATTGTTAAACCTTGACTTATCTTTTAAAACATGAAAACTAATGCACCTTTAGTTTTGTCTAAAAATAAACAGGCTTCTTGATAATGCTTAGAGATGTCGTATACTTGTTTTTACAAAGACAACATGCACATAGGCATAGCACTGAAAATAATCAGTGCCATTCTCTGGACTTTTTAAAAGCTTGTTTGCTAAGTGTTGATAACATACAGATAGGATATGCATAAATAACACAGAAGCCTAGCTATAAGTATAGATAACACAGAAGCCTCTCTGCAACAGTGAGTAGATAATACTTCTCTCCAATATTTTCTACTATTGCTTTGTATTTTCACAAGACAGTGATTTAGACAAGCTTCCACCTAGTACCTAAAATTGAAAGTTTACAGAATTTTTTAAAAATTAAAATCAAGCTTTGATTTCAGTCTGGTGTTTACTGAGTAAAGAACAAAAAAAAACTGTGGCCAGAAACTGTCAAGAAACAAAACAGCTGTGAATCTACAGATAAACTAGAATGCTGGATAGTAGTCTAAAGGCATAAAGCATCTAAGCACACAACTCTTGCCCAATGCCTTCCGTGAGACCACACCAAACAAGCAAAGATATGGACAAAGCCTGCTTCCCAAATTCAGTGGGAAAGTTAATTCCACGATCTACAGTGAGTTGTGAGCTCGCTCTAGTGAGCCAAGAGCCTGAACTGCCCACTTGAAAGAGAATGAACTTAAGTGATTAAAACCTGAATGCAGTGACTTCAATACTCACAGTGAAAATGGTGACTGCAGCCAAACACTACACTACCTCCCCCCAAAAGCTTGAGGGCTACATGCAGACTGATCACCCAGTTTTCACATGAGTTAGTCTTTCAGTGACTTCTCATCCATGTGAAACATATTCCTTCAGTCATCACACAGAACACCCTCATCCAGTTTCTCAATTAATCTCATTTGTTGATGTGTAGTGGTCTGACAAGAAAACCCATTTCAAGCCAAAGGCTGAGGCTTTTTGTCTTTGAGCTGTAACCTTTTTCATCCATATAGTTTGTTTCACACCAGTTTCCTTAACATTAAGCCATATCAGTAAAACAAGTCCACACCTCCCTATACGATTGATAGTCCAAAAAAAAAAAAAATCAAAAAACAAAAGAAGAAAACAACAAGGAAAACACTACTTTCATAATATTTCTTAAAATAGTCCTAATAAAACCATACTTTCCACAGTGAAAAATTTTGATGAAAGCGTTCTTCTTTTCACAATCAAATCAGAACAGGATCAACTTAACAAGCAAGTCTATCAAATGTTCATTTTACCCACAGCAGGCTTAACAATTATCAGTCTAACAAACATTAAAGGTGACTTAAACACAGCATTTCCCAGAAATATCACATATGAGTTCAGCTTGCTTCCTTCTTCCCCATACCAAACAAATCTGGTACGAGATGCTTGTAGAGAAAGATTCAATTATAAAAAACATAAATCGGAAAACTCAAAGCTCTCACAAAAATACATGTCCCACTAGATTTTTCACATACCTCCTTGAAAGATACAGGCAACCCTTATAACAATCTCTTTCAGAACAGTATCATGTTTTGGACAGCATTTTGTAGAGCAAATGAGCTGCCCCTCCCATGAAGTTCAAGAGGAGTGAAGCAGGCACACACTGCATCACAGGAACAGCACAGAGACATTTAGAACCTTTTATTCAAGTATTTGCCTCATCTAATTAGTCCAAGATGATCGGAACTCTACTGGAACAGTAACATACATCATACTAGACATTCAAAAATGTCATATACCTTTGGCTAGCCACAGAACATAACCCAGACATCTCTTCTACCCAAAGATGCCTAAAGCTGCTTTAATCGGGTAATGGAATAAAGCATAAGCTTTCACCTTAAAAGCTTGGTTTGATTTGATCACATGATTGGTTTACTACTACTGTCATTAAAAAGAAAAAAGGGGGTGGGGGTATCAAGCAAGTATAACTCCAGTAAAATCAGCGTGCATCTGCCTCAAATTCTTTACTTTTTAATTCAGCTACTATAAATACTCCTCCAAATGGTAAACAGCCTGAGCAGCTGCCCAGCCCCCAAGTATCGCTGGCCTCTCTGCATTTGTATATTTACAGCTGAAAGGATTAATGCAAAGACAGTGAAGAGAGAAAGGTGCACAAGTCCTCTTCTTGAAGTCTTGAATTTTATTAAACAGTGACAGGTTGTCACATAAGCATGTTTTCTGCTTGAAATCACCTACACAGCCTATTGGGAGAACCTGCCAAACTACAGCCACTTTTTTGTTTCTCGCTTTCTTCAAAAGAACAGGTATGCAACTGTAAGAATACATATTTTACACAACTAAAACGTGTTTCTAGAATTAGCCATCTTCTAAGTGATTAAGATCAAGTTCAATAAAGATTAAGCACTGTATTTTCAGCATGCACAACACTGCTACGAGATGACATCTGGAGATTAACTTACTCCACAATTTTTCAGAGGAGCCTCTTGAACATCAGAAAGAATACTAACTCCTGAACGCCCCGATCAAAACATAACAGCAGTGAGGTCAGCTGTCAACATTCACTGAATTAGGTATGTCAATTCTAGGTCAAAAAACGCAGCTACAGAAAAATCATTATAGACTTCGACAGACATCTGCCTAACGCATATATCCATTTAGGATCAGCAATGGATGTAAACAGCAAAAACAAAGGAGCGTTTTCTGTGAAGGGGTCGGCAGTCGGGAAGAGCCTGGCGCTCGTTGTCCACCCAGACAACAGAGAAACAGGCCCGAACCGACGGAGCCGCCCAGAGCGGCCGGCCGGCAGCGGAGCAGGCCCTGCGCACTGCGCTG